AAAAAAAAAAAAAAAAAAAAATCTATACAATATAAATACTGAATAACTAACAAATGAAATAAATGAAATTAGGTCACAAGTCCCCAAAAACCTGCAGTACAGTTGCAAATATGTATATTTTTTATTTTTTTATTTTATCTGACAATACACAAAATCAATTTTCAATATATTTTCACAAGAGACAAAACAAAACAAAATAAAAGTGGAAAGAAAAGTAATTTGATATGGGAACCTCTAAATAGCACAAAAGGATATTTATGTGTTCAGTCAGTTAGTTCATGTCCTTGGAAAGGATGGATGGATCAATTGGAAATGGACTTAGAATTCTCAACTTAATGCAGAAGTCCAGAGCAACTCCTGCAAATAGAAAGATCAAAATACTTTCACAAACGTAAACCGAACCACTAAAAGCATGCGAGAGAAAGCTGCCGGCTTCCAACTCCAACGGTGGTCCGCCTCCCAGCATACCGAGCCCTGCATCACAAAAACATTGCTCGAAAAAACCCATCTTTATAAACGACATTAATTTGCATCAATTCTAGGAGCAGGGCTGCTGCCTGCATCCCAATAAGTTCTAGCAATTTTGCAACCATGGTTTTCAACATTAATTCCCATCCAAACTAACACACAAACTGCTATATAGTAGGCATAATAGGTGAAAATTGCTCAAATGTGTTAATTTTTACCCGAAATCATGCTTTCTGAACAAAAGTGTGTACTTTTACAGTTAAATGTCACTCTTCAATACAGATTAAATAATTTTCTATGTTGTTTCAGAAAGTATATGATTTAGGGAATGTTTGGTAGACAAATAAATTAGCTTATAACTTATTTGGTTAGCTTATAAGCTTTCTGTATTTAAAGAAGCTTCGTTTGGTAGGAAAAAGCTCGAGCTTATCTCATAAGCTTCTTTCGGTAGCTTTTCAAATAAGCCCGTTGAAATTTTTATTTTAACTTATCAACTAATTTTACCAAACACTTTTGTCATATAAGCTAGTTTTTCAACTATAAGTCATAAATTATAAGCTCGAAAATTACTGGTAAGCTATAAGCTAGCTTATTAGCTATCAGCTAGTTTACCAAAAAAAAAAAAACAAAACAAAACAAAATATGTCCGGTTAATCCATTGGGAAAACAGACAAGATGACTCGACCTACTGCCGTAGTAATAAGGTTATGTTTTAACTCTTACATCAGATTTGAAACAGCAAAAGTTTTGTTGTATCTAGAATAAAGTTCCCTATAAGTAAAAGGCTATGCCCAAACAATGTAAATGGTTACAAGTTATTGGCTAATTAAGGATATACTGAATACACAAATATACCTTTTACGAATCCAAAAGCTGCAGATGTCCCAGATTTTAGCTGGAAATTGTCCAAGTCTCTTCTGACTGCATATCTGAAAGTCACCCCAAACAGTGCACAGCTAACAAAGGTAATGGCCAGAGGAAGTAAAAGTTCGGAATTGCTGGTAACTCGAGTTAAGGAAATGGGGAGCTCGGCAAGAGTGCCGATGATGGCAGATAATGAAGCAGCTTTAACAGACTCCAATCTCTCCTCATCTTTGGAGGCTTTCCTGCTTTGGTCCGTCAATGACCGTTCAGCTTCTTCCACCATTGCCCTTGCTTCCGATATTTCTTTCTGGCATTCTGCAATCTTTCAATTGGCTAAATACAGTCAATGTAGTGTGTCTTTTCAAGTAAGATGTAAATCATCAATGAATAGGTTAAAATTGAGAATTGAGTGGAGAATTCTAATTTAGGTCGTATTTCTTGTAGGGTTTCTGACAGCAAGATGGAAGCTTATTCGAATTAACAAATTTAACTAATCCAAAAATATCCGAGCTTCAAAGTGTAGACGATACTAAATAAATACGGAGGGAGGTTAGACTTGTCACAACTAAAGTGTGTTGTACGTCTACTTCTAGACTCGATGAGAGAATCTCTATTAGGTTACATGAAGCTTTGATGGATCAATAAATCTAGCATTACTTGCTAACTTATGAATATGCAGTCAATTGTTCATTTCTACTGAACCTTCCAACTCTATCTTCATATTCAATTTCACACAACTTAAACGATAAATTGCATTTGTGCTCGTTTCTGCTATCAGTTAGCACTTCAAGCCAAGAATCCATTACCACCACAGGCAAAAACTAAACAACAATTCAAGAGCAACAATAGAAACAACAGCTATGTTACAACGCAACGTGTTCACTTGAATTGCTAACATCTACTAAACAAGATCAGTACCAATTACCACATTTCTCTCATTGAGGAACCATCTTTCCTATGACATGATAATGAACTGATTATGCTTTCATTAAATCGAATCCCGAATAACCCCATTTCTTGACAAGGATACAAATGTACAACAGATACATAAAATCCCAACGGGATGTTTAGCCATTTTTGACAAAAAAGATGTAATAAGACTAAATAAAAGGGCAAAAAAATAAAAAAGTACAAAGAATGGTGATAGTGATACCTCAGAGGCTCTTGATTCGAGCTGATTAACGTAATCCCTCATAATCTTGGCCTCAATTTCCTGCTTTTTCATCTCAGCAAGCTCCCGCCTGGCCATTTCAACTCTCCTGGAAGCTTGCTCCAGCCCGTCCAACAAACCCTTGTTCTCTTCTCTGCTCAAGAGTTCATCTACCCTCTCGTCCACCATACCAGACAGCAAATCCTTCAAATTTCCCCCGCTTCCACTTGCCGATGGGGGGCTGCCGTTCTTGCTGCATCTCAGCCCGGATGCGGCTCTTGGAGCTGGGATTACAGCTGCAGCCAGGTGCTTGAATGGAGAGGTTGAGTGAAACCTCTCGGGGAACAGAGTTTTGGGTTTCCGAGGCTGAATTAATGGCGAAGGGGAGCTTCTTGTTGTAGTTGTTATGGTAGTTTTCATGTTGATGGGGAAGACGAAAGAATGTATGTGATGTGTAACATGTAATGTATCATATGGAGCGCCATAGGACGCAATCGTTGCTTGTGAGCTTATCCACATTCGCAAGGATCCGGGCTGACCCGCAACCCGCAACCCGCAACCCGCAACAGTTGGAGCGGGTACAAAAACGCTTCAACTTTTTTTTTTCAACTTATAATAAATATTAATAATTAGAGGTGTGCATTGGCCGCTACGGTTTAAATAATTTAATTATTAAAGGTGAGCCTGCAGATAGAAATCTCCGACTCGTATCGGAATTCAGAGGTTACTCAAATTCAATTATCGGAACCGCAGCGAAAAATCAGTTCGGTCCAGATACTTTTATTTTTTAGTATTGTTCGGTTTTGTTTCGAGAGATTTCTAAATGTTTTATTTATTTTTTTCAATGACTGTCATTTATATTTCAATTTTCGTATGATTTAAATAAATCCAACATTCATCAATAATTAACCATATTAAGTATTTTATTCAAAATCATCTGTAGAAAATATAGAAATAAAATCAGATATAACAAAATTTGTGCAACTAATTATATGAAATATATATAATTATTTTTTAAGTATATTACTAACTTTTTATACCATTTCAATTATCATTCGATTCTTAAATCTGGTACGGTATGAGATGGTTTAGTTCGGTTCGTTCCTTGAAACGAATCAATTATTTTTTCCGGTTCGGTTCGGATAAAGTGAAACGATCAACGATTATTTTTCAGTTTAGAGTAAATTCAGTGTGATTTTCAGAATGATTCAGAATTTTTCTGAGTCCCATGCTCAATCTATTAATAATCAATAAAAATATAGATCTATTA